ATCTCAGGGGCAGTCATGACGGAGCTCCAAAGGTGATGCGGGGCGTTCCCGTCCCAGATCGTACTCGGCCCTGTCTGAGGCCGGGCAGCTTTGCAATCCACTGCATTCGACGATTTTGTGCAACTGGGATTACTTGTACAATCAGAGGGGTCAGAGACGAGTACTCCTGGTTGCAGTGGTAGTAAAGGGAACGAGACGGTCTGGGACAGTTGGTTTTCACAGGTAGCCGAAGCAGGTTGTACATTAGATTGATGTATTCACAAGGGTCAATGTATGAATTGTCCGTGGGGAGCCATATGTGTGTTTAGGGTCCTGGAGCAGCTGTCGAACACCAATCTCGAACGAACATGCGCGATGGCCTGCTCCGTTGACCAAACTGTGCGACGGCACCTCATCGGCCAATTGGCAAAATCTGTGCGACTGTCTGATCATGCTGGGACAAAGCAAATCAAGATCGCCCCATCGCAGGGAAATCTTCGGCATGGGCATCAAAACGCCTATCGTGAGGCTGGAACAGTGACTGGCAGTGAGACCTGTTGACTGTGGGTTGTGTCACATCGTGAGTCTCTAGGGGGAACCAGCTGCTGCTGCTAATGGTGCAACAGCGTGGTTGGTATCCAGCAGATTGAGTGCGATCAACTCACGCACCCTGAACTAATGCAAGGGTGCCATTCAATGCGCCTTGCTGCTTGCTCTGCCAAGGGTGAGTATCGTGGAGCTCTCGCGGGTCAAACACCATCTATTTGGTGCGCTATCCAGTCTGTTCAAAGTTGATCGTCTCAACGGTGCCACTGGCAATCGTTGAGTTGCAGGGGGAAAGTAGCCAACAAGCAGTCAGGCTTGAAGACATGAGTGGGCTACCCAGGGGCACGCAACGGCCCGGGCTGATCGTGACATGCCTGATCGTGCGCAAACGATGAACGGGTTTCGTCCGTGGCCGGTGCGTTCAATCGCATGCAACGAGGCTTCATAGGGGACCAAAAACCGAAGATCGATTTCGTGTTCGAGACGAGTTGCAAGGAGGCCCTTGGATTTACGAACGGGCTGCCCCCCAATTAATTCTAGAGCCAGAGTGACGCCGTTGTCGTGTGCATATGCCAGCCTTTGTGCAGGCTTGTCGCTGACTCATGGGTAGCTATCGGCAGCTGTACCTACCCCTTATCACTGGTTCTGATCTTGTCGGATCGCAAATGAACCGTGATTTGGTAGACCCTAACCATGCTTGAAGCTATCGATTTCAGAGGGGCTGATTGCTTGCTTTGGCAATGTGGAGGGTCCGCTGGCAAAGTCCATCTAACGCACTGGCCGATGTTTCCGAGCTGGTGCCGCCGTCACCTGCATGTCTTGCTGATCTGATCACTGCTGAAGAGTACAGGCTCATCAAGCACCCGGGTGGTGCCCGTGTGACTGGGCCCGGTCCCCTCGAACGCTTAGTAGGAAAAGCAACATTGTGGTTCATATCTCTCTAAAACAAAAATAGTGGATAGGTCTGAAGGCAGCGTTCGTCAGGATGGCAGCTGACATGGGACGGAAGACAAAAACCGGAGGGATGGCGGCTCCTAGCGCAGTGCAAGCTCGAATACCACTGGGTAGACCCAACCAGCTGAAGGCTCCTCTTTGCCTGGCCGAGTAAGTCAAGCCGCCAATAGCCCGGGACATCACAACCTGGATTCACATTCGAGCGAAGACTCGGGCGCTATTTTGGCTGGTGGTTTTCGGGGAGGTGAGTTGTGGTGATTGGCGGACATCCCGTAGATGAGGTATCGCTCAGACACCACTCTGATTTGTGAATGGAGTTTATCAGACACCAGCTGATCGCCTCGGAGAATCTTTGGCACCCGGGAGCCGTGCCACAACGAGTTCATGGACAGCCAGTCCTGGTGGCTCGTTGCGATGCCTGTGGAACGAGAATGGCCGACACGGTGGCGGTGATGAAGGTTATTGTACATGTACACAGAATCGCTTCCCTCCGATTCGCATTTAGTCTTTTAAACAATAAGGCGCCTAAAGTCAGCATGGTGGAGCTCAAAAGGCGAAAAGTGATCGTTTCGATTTGCGATGAGCTTCCCTCTGAGACATGTACATGTATAGACCCGTAGATATGACCAAAAAGCCAATTCGGTGGTGTGTTGGGTTGTCTGTGCGGGATGGAGTTGGCGTGACAGGCCAAGCTTGGGCGCCATGTGGTTGGACGCCAGCTGGAGACGAGCTCCCCCAGGTTGGGAATGGCTCTGGAATGGTTCACACGCTCTCGGACGGTGGCACACCGTCTTCAGCAGCGATCTTTAGCTGTCTTTAGCTGCCTGCTTCCAGGTAGCTCCAAACGAGGTCTGCTGGGCTCGTTCGCCACGTTGGCGTACCTTCTCCAGGCAGGGTCACTCTTGTTCCTTGGTTGTCCGTTGCTATAGTAGCTGGTCGCTCTTCGGACAGACCGCACGTGTTAGACTCTGTCGACCAGGTTTTGTGTGTCGGTAGAAATGGAATCGTGCCTTGCATCGGACGCATGTAATAAGGGGATTATGGAGAAGCGGAGGCGAGGGCACCATGCCAGGTCGACCTTCATTGGGTGCTGCGCCGGCCGGTACCAGGAAGGTAAGGAGAGAGAGAGAGTTTTTAGGGAGAAGGAGGGCCGAAAGTTGGGCCCCTCCTACCCTCCTGTTGCAGCTGTCGTTGTTTGCGAAACAGCTGCGACAGCATATCCATCCCGGCAGCCAGCAGCAGCTCACAGTCTGGAAAGGCAGGAGGTACCAGCCATCCAATCCCATGCCACCCCAGCGGCCAAGCCTTGACCCTGAAGCGAGGCCAGTGGCATGTGCCGATTCGTCCAAACCTGTGCCGGTCTGCCAGTGTCCCAGTTCCCGATCGAAGCACTCAGCACCAAGCACCAAGCAGGGCAAGCACCGGCAGTCGGTCACGTTTGTCTCGCCGCTTCTTATTCCGTTGACTTTGGGGTTCATGACCTACCTCTCTGACCGTCCCTCACCGTATTGCGTTGCACCTGTGCCCGTCGTTCCCTACCAAGTCTGGCCCCAACACCATTGGGGCCAAATGTCCGCATCCCCGGCGAACCCTTTCAACAGTTGCCAGGTTCTGACCGAATCTATTGGGAACTTGCGCAGGCATCATCTCGTCTGATGATCAGACCATGCATGGCCCAGGAGGAAGGAGGAGACCCTCAACCATGCGAAACAGCAACGATGATGGAAGGGGCCCACAGCCAGAGGAACGATGCGTGCGGGCACGCGTTCGGCCACCACGACTGCCAGGCTTGCCATGCGAGACTGGAAGGGTCATCGTGGTGGGGGCTGGGGAGGGGCGACCCAAGGGAAGGAAGTCAGGAATGCCCGGACATTTTTACTCAATCACAGCAGAACTCGAAAGCCCCTGCCCACTCGAAAGCCCCCTGCCCACCCGCAAAGACAGCCCCGGTCCCTTCCCCATCTTGGTCGAGACGGGCTTGGAAGGGGGCTCCGGCGTCCAGACAGTGGGAACGCCTCCGAGATCCACACAGCCTTGGGATGCACTATTGCACCCTTCCACCTATTGTGCCTCCTTTACCTGGCAGGTCGGCAGGTCGGTAGGTAGGAAGGTACACCTGTACCTGGCGCACCTGGCGCGCTCATTGTACTAAGTATCCATGTGCACCTGCACCTGGCTCCGTTAGTGCACATATCGACTAGGGTGGGTAATATGAAATGGTCCCCTGTACTAACCCGACTTGCTCATGCCGCCCGCCTCGGTGTGTCTTGGAGAAACTTTGCTCCCAAGCTTCGTTCTTTTTGTTCTCTCGCCGTCTTCCATCCAAGGTACCTACTGTAGGCATGGTAGGCGAAGGAGACAGATGGCATTGAATCAGGCACCCGACCGGCTTTGTGCAAGCTCACGCCAGTATAGAGAGCTAGCTGGTCGCTGTCGCTGTCGTTTGTCGCCCACGGCCTGCCCTTGTCCAAGCACATCGCCGGATGTGCAAGTGGCTTCAGCGATCTGGATCCCCAAGCGTCCTCGCTCCGATTTCCCACTTGTTCACCATCCGTCCATCTATCCTTAGGTACACATCCACATCCCATCCACACCACACCGTCCCATCCATCCCCATCCTCAAACCCACACCTGCTTCCCCTTTCTCCTCCACTCCTCCAAAACCTTTCCCTCCTGATCTGCCCTTCTGCCATCCAGCCATCCAGCCACACACTCTGCTCGCCTCCAACATTTCGGTTCCCCTCTCCGACGGAGGACAGAACGGCTGGCTGCCAACTCTTTCTTTTCGTCCCGTACATCCATGAGTATTCTGCGACCCAACTGCCCGGCTTCTTGATACTTGCTTTTCTCCATCAGGCTGGTTCTCCAATGCGACATCACAGGTACGAACATTGAGCCTCATCACCCCCTCGCACGCGTGCTTGACTATCACCGTCTGCCCACCTTCAGAGCTTCAGAGCTGGAAGGCAATTCCTGCCATTCGAGCATTGCCCGCACCTCAGCGTCCTCAGGCACCTTGGCAGACCGTCACCGTCACCGCCACCGTCACCGATCAGCCCTCTCATGGCGGTCGCACAAGACATTGCTTGTCCTGCAAGACGTGATGGGCCACGCATGATTTTCTATCCTCGCTGCTTGCCTGCCTGCCTCATCCAACCTCGTTACATCAGCCCTCCCCCCCCCGTTTCAGCCCTCAAGGCTATCAACACGTTCCCTGCATGGGCAGACTGACAGACTGCCTGCCCTTTGCTTGCTCACTCCCGCTAATGCTGGCGAACCGCAGCTTCCCGTCTCCCTCTTCCAGCCGGCCTTCCACGTAGCCAATTTTTTAATATACGCAAACGGCGCAAAGCGACAAACCCTCGCCCTCCTGATAGGGCCAAGCCCGACTGACGTGCCTTCTGTCGCCAACCGACGCCCCATCAGTCCATCGATCCAACCTGCTGTCGCACCACACCAAGGAGCGATCAGCGTCCGCATACGATCCTGGTCGACCATACTTAGGAGAAGCCACGCCCACCATGGCGGCCTCTTCCACCACCGACTCGACGCTGTCGAGACCCTCCTCCATCGCTCCTCCAGCGTCTCGCCGTCTTCCCAGGTCGCGCAGCCAGAGCTTCTCAAGCGACCGCCCCTCTACCATCATGAGCCACAGCCTCATGTCCCCTCCTTTGTCCGTATCGCCAGAGGCTGCCTTCATCGCTGCCTCGGCCGCCTCTCAAATCGTGACGAATGACCATGACAGCCACGCCGACACCTGGTACGATCAGCATGGCATCGAGCCTGCCGGCGAGACAGCATTGGTTTCGCCAGGCGCACTCAAGCTCGTCAACAGCTTTCTTGACCAGCTCCTTTTCAACTTCCTTCAGGTCTCCCGAGCCACTACCTTGACAGCCCTTCGCCCTGCCGTGTCTGAAGTCTTGAAGCCCAAGCTTGCAAAAGACGCCATCAACAATGCCGACGAAGAGCTGCGAGAATATCTTGGGGGAGCCGATGAGGATGAGTTTGCGGCACCGCGAGACACACACTCGCTTCGAGATTGGGACCTCGAACTGGTGTGGAAGCGGACTCGTCTGAGATGTATGGTATACTCATCACTGGGTGACATGGAAGAGGAGGATGAGGACTTTTACACGGAACAAGAGAACCTGGAGCCCGGTGCCGAGGAGCAAGGCTCCGAAATCATTTCGCCCGCCGTCGCCATCTTCTTGACGTCGATCCTCGAGTTCATGGGCGAGGCGGCACTCGTGCTAGCGGGCCAGGCCGCTTACCACCGTATGCGCACCAACTTTGAGAGGTCTCTGAAAGATGGGTCCAAGAGTCACAACGACATTGCCGATCGAATCGTGGTCGAGGAACTCGACATGGAACGTGTGGCTTTGGACAGGACACTCGGTCGCCTGTGGAGGGCTTGGAAGAAGAGAATCCGTTCTCCCATTCCAGACACCCCTCGGCGCTTTTCTCAGAGTTCCAGGGGCCACTTCCGACAGGGAAGCAGCCCTAGTGAGACAGCACGTGCTCTAGACAGGACAGAAGAGACGGAATCCGGGTTTAAGGAGAAGGCACTGGAGGAGAAAGAACCGGCAATGGACCGGGTCGAAGAGTTTGTCAAGGCGTCTGCCATACCCTTACCGGTTGGCGACCATGACATTGACGAGATTGAGGTACCTGGCCTCATTTCGTACAGTGACGACGAAGGCGATGGAGACGAAGAAGACGATGACAATGAGCGCCGCGCGCCACGCCCGAAGAGCATGATGATTTTCTCGCAGCTCTTCACTAATGCACTCCCCAGCCCAACTTGGTCTCAACCTCGGACACCACTGAGCCCTATCCCCTCGAGCCGCAAGAGGTCAAACTCTCTGCCCACGCCATCACCATCACCTTATGACTTGCCTGCTGCCAAGCGCCCCAAGGTCGAGGCTTTTCCCAGTAAAATTGCCGACGAAGTGGACGTCGACTCCGCCAAAGCAATTTCCACAGAAATCATCACAGAGGCGGTCGAGTCAACAGAGGGCCCCGCACTTGCCGCTCAGCCGCTCACTGAAGATTCACCCATATCTCCAGGCATTTCTGATGACTCGGCCGAAGCCGCTGCGGAGCATCAAAACGATCAGGCGAGCACATCGGAAGCGGTTCAAGAGTCTATCTCGGTGGGCCAGGAACAAGCCCCCCCAGAATTTGGGCGGAGGAGCTCCAAGCGCATGTCTCGCATCATCGGCAGTACCGCCGTTGCCAGCACTGCTGTTGCTGCCGCTGCCACGGCCGCTGTTACCACGAGTGCTACTGCAGAGAAGCCTGTGCAACAACAACAGTCAACCAGGGCCCAGGACGCGTCTGACGGTGAAACCGACGAGGTGGAGGACTTTACTGAAGAACCGCAAATACTTACCTCAGCGCGAGTGTCCTTTGCTGGCCGCAGCTCTCCCTCCGTTTCCGACTCCAGTAAAGTGCCGTCAATCAATACCAACATTCCTCAGAGGACCTCAAGTGTGCACTCGGCCCGCGTCATAGACGTCGTAGGCCCAAAAAGCCCCATCGGTCGCTCGAGAACGCCTTCGGCTGAAGGATCTGAGCGCATAAGGCCGACAAGCTTATCGCGAAGGAGCAGCGTACACACACCTCCTATTGTTGAAGAAAAACCAAGACCGGCTCCGATCGACACGCTTATGCGCAACGCCGGCCCTGCGCCAGGAACCCGGTCACCAGCTGAGAGACTCACGCGGAGACAAGGCACGAACCTTTCAATTTCTGAGGCTGAGGAGGAGCCTGATTACGTACCAAATCGCGATGGGACACCGATGACTCTGGCATCGAGGTATGCACCTCAGACACCGAATGAGCTCCAGACCCAGTTTGAGGAATCAGACCAGCCCATTTTTGGGTCTGCAGTTCGACAGCCAGGGTCTCCTCGGCAAGAACACCATCCTGCAACAACCAAAGTCACGATCCTGAGCACAACGGACTCGTCAAATGCCTTTGAAACCTCCAAAGCGCCATCCCCACCTCGCAAATCGCCTGGCCTGCCCCGTAGCCAGACGGACCGAAGCCGTGAGGAGCCATATTCCGCATCAAACGGACACACGACCAGCATTGGTGTCGTGTCAGTCGAGCGCCAATCTCCTGGCCGCGATTCGCCTGAGCGTGCGCGACAGATTCACACCTCTGGCTCGTCAGGCTCGTCCAATGCTGGCAAGATCAGGCCACTGAGGACCTCGGAAGAGAGCAAAGGATCGCCTCGTGTCGAAAACGTCGCTCGCAATTTCGAGGAGCTCATACAGAGCGACCAGACCATACAGTACACTCTAACGCCAGAGAACATGCGCGATGTCAAGGTAAGTCCCGGGCTCTCTTCAACATACAGCACTGTAATACTGATTTGAAGCAGCCGTCCCGGTCAGCTCAGAACAGCCCAGTCGCGGGTCCTAAGTCGAGAAGAAGCGAAGACGTGCGCGTAGCTGACCGCGAGCGATCTCACCCCAGCTCCAATACGGCTGTCAAGCGGTCGGGGTCTACCAGTCGTGCAACCGGATTGAACTCTCACCCTGTCAGCGAGCCCAAGCCCAACGCCAAACCCACTGGGTACATCCCCAGAGCGCCGCCAAATGCCAGTACCAATCGGTCCAAGTCTGGCGGCCCTCAAGCCAGGGATGCTCGTGTCCCACGCGAGTCCATGATCGACTTTGCCGACTTCATTCGCAGTACTGGCCCCACGGGCGAGAACGGCCCTGCCCCCCTCCGCAACGGAAATGGACAAGTACCATCAGTCAAGAACAGCATCGACAGTAGACGGGTGTCGTCGAACAGCAACCGGCCCCGTCTCCAAGCTCGCGATGCGGCTGTGGACAGCCGGGAGGACAATTCTGATCTCATTGACTTCATCCGTCGGGGTCCCCCAAGCTCGCACAACAATCCTCGCATCCCACGCCATGTGGCTCCCTTCCGCAGTACCATGGACTCAGACCAGATGACAGGCGCCATCGGCGGCAAGGCCATCGACGCCAGTTTGCCCAATATCCGATACAGCCAAGCCTCGACAAATGTGACTGATGTCACGATGCCTTCGGTTCAGTCATCTGTGAACTCTCAAAGTGCTCTTATCAAAAACAATAGGCAGAATGATGTCATTGACGAAGAGGATTTTATGCCCAAGCGCACTCAGCGGCGTGTCAAGGATCCCTACGCCATTGACTTCAGCGATGAAGAGGATGAGGACGACCTCGATGGACCCCCGAGGCCGCCCCAGAAGCAGGAGGAAAGCCTGGCGGATTTCTTGAGAAACTACCAGCCGCCCCCCGAACCAGTTGCTCAGACACCGCTCGCGAACAGACCAAAAAAGAAGGCCAGCGCGCCAAGTCTCATTGGTCGCTTTACGCGTGGTATCAACCACGGTTCTCAGTCTCAAGCTGCAACCAACGGCGGGGCTCAAGCAAGTTTGGCGGAGTCGAGGTCGTCCAGCAGCCGACAGGCTGGTGGTGCCCTCGGCCACACTCCCATCCAGGTCAGCATGCCTCCGGGTTACGACCAATACGGACCCATCGACGGTACTCGCCGGCCTGCCACTCAGTCCAGTGGGCGCGTGCCGATGAAGAAATACGAACCGCGCGAGGCATCGTCCGCGGTGACCCGCACTAGCGACCTTGCCAGCTTCCTGCGGGACTCAGAGCCGCCGCCGCAATCGAATCCCCCAAGTCTCTACTCCACCCAAGAGCAATCATCTTCGAGCAGTGGCTTCTCCAAGATGTTCGGTCGTCGCAAGAAGTCCAGCATGACTTGATCTAGTTTTACATGGAACGGTTCCCAAACGGTTCCCGCTCCACGCGATGACGATGCATTTATCTCCCCATTGACGAATCACGTACATTCCGCTCGCCACACCAACCCCTGCCTTATCCGAAAGGCCCTTCAACTGCATATATCTTGTTCTTTTACTTTTGGGCTACCAGAGATATCCGCCATTTATTCTTCATCAAAGATGAAGGATACACACACTCTTCGCATAATCATGCCACCTGCACTCACGCATTGTACCCCTATCACGAATCCTCGATACCACCGGACGCAAGGGCATTTCTCGTTTTTTTTTTGATTGATTGGAAAGGGAGGGAGGGGCAGCCGTAGCTGTGGCAGTTGTACGCGTCATGCTCAATAGTAGGCCTTGTCGGGAAGTCCTCTCTGCTTGCAGGAGGTACAGACAACGGTTCCGAAATTTAACCTTTCATCACAAGTCGCAATTGGCTGAATTGAGCTTGTGATTGCCGTCATGTGAACAATTGTTGATGTGCCTTCCGATGGGTTTTGGCGTTGCTCGGATGACTTCAACGCAGGCAAGAGCGCTGTGTTCTGTCACCAAGTCGCTGGATCAACTTACATAACCGGTCCCGTGCTTCTTGGTCTGCTGGCTGGATGACCTCGGTGCACCATCAACCCGAGCCCTGTAAACGACGAGGCATCTCATGGGGTCACACGTCGTGCGAGTCAAGGTAGGTAGAAGGTATTGAGGTACTCGAGGCCTATCCACAGAAAGGAGGCCTGGGCCTTTGTGTGCCACCATTGTCCCAACGCCCCTCCTACCATTGTCGTGCCTGGCTTCTCCCGTGCCCTTGGCTCCTTCCTGGATTTCGATCGTCACATCTCCACAAGGACAACTGGTTGTTCTCAAGTCTCGCCCCCGAGAGTATCCGCACCCAAATGTACCATGCTGCTCGACTGGTGTAAGCTCACGTCAGATACGAGCCGTCGCCGGCAAGACTAGAACCAGTCTGTTCACCAGTCGTTACCACCGCCACCAGCAGTGGCAGTCTGCCACATTGGACCTTGATCGGCACTAGCTTTGTCGTCAAACCCGCCAGAGCCGCCAAAGTCGTTGGAAGCGGGCAGGTCGCCGCCGCCGCCGCTAGCATTGTGGCCCTGGGCATCCTCATCGACATGGGGGTTGGTGCAATTGTACTTTTTGTGGCCCATCTCACCGCAGTTGAGGCACTTGACGCGAGAGACTGACTGGTTAGCAAAGGGGCAAAGGAATGAAACCGAGAGTTTGGACTTACTGTCCTGGGGCTTGGGGCACTCGCGGCCTGTGTGGCCATACTCGTCGCAGTTGCGGCACTGCATGCGACGAGGCTCGGGGCATTCCTTGGCAATATGACCCTCCTGATCGCAGTTGCGGCAAGTACGACTGCCGCCTTGAGGACAATCACGCGAGAAGTGGCCCACTGAGATATCGGTCAGAATCAAACGGCATGTGATATAGGATGAGGTTGGAGGAGGGACTTACTCTCATGGCACTTGTTGCACTCAACGCCGTCAGCATTGCGAGGCTCGGTGCAGTCAGCTGCCTTGTGGCCAGGCTGATTGCAATTCTTGCAAGCGAACTTGTCTTTGCGAGGGACCGGACCTGCGATGATGTGAGCGGATATTTGTTCATGGGTTGGAAAGAGAACCCACAGTCTCGGACGCGATGACCGTCTTCATCACAGTTGTAGCAGCGAATGCTGACTTTTTCGATCTCCTGTCGGTCAGCTGTGCAGTTCTTTGAGATGTGGCCCAGCTCCTTGCAGTTGGTGCAGCGAGGCTTGCCAGTAGGGGCGGGTTCGCCGGCGTTGGCGAGGCGCTCCAGGTTTTCCTCCTTGTCCTTGGGCCAGGTCTCACGCTCACGCTCGCGCTCAGGCTTTGGCGAGAAGCGGAAAGAGACAGTGTACTCCTTTCCGAGGTTGCCCTGAAGGTCCATATTGGTCATGGTGTCGAGGAGATGCTCGCGCTTGGTGGCGATGCAGTAAACATTCATGTCCTGGGCGCGAAACGCTTCCTCGAGATCCAAGTAAGTGGTTTCAGGGTGATGCTTCATGTACTTGCGGAGCTCTTCCTTGAAATCGAAGACGTCGCGCTCTTCAACTGCATCTTGCATGGCCGTCCAGGCCTCATCAGAGGTGACATCCTCGACGCCACTGTAGTCGATCTTGCGAGGATTGTTGCACTCGGACACGAGGTGACCTAGAACGAACCTGTTAAAGCAGGAAACCCGATTTGTGATGAGAGAGACTGACCTTCCTGCTGGCAGTTGCGGCAGACTTCTGCGGGCTTGTTAGGGCAATCACGGCGCATGTGTCCCTCCTCGTTGCAGAAGTTGCAAACCATAGGAGGAAGAGAGGGACATTCACGGCGCATATGACCGGGCTCGCCGCAATTGTTGCAGGTGCGGTCACCGCCGTCACCGCCATCACCACCACCATGGCCGCCATACCGGGCAGCCGCGTCGCCCATGTCATCAGCAGGACCGGGAGCACCGTTGCCCCACTCGTCGTTGGAAGCCATCTTGACAGGAGTGTTGTGAAGATGAGGGGATGCAGGCAGGTAATCGAGCTCGGTTGACTTGTAGGACTTGACGGAGCTGATACTGTCGAAGGACCTGACAGAGGCGATGGAGACTGATTGTTGCTGGTCAGCAGGTATTCTGGTGCGAGGAACTCGGGCAAGGAGCAAAAAGATGCAAGAAGCAAAACAAAGACCAAGAAAGCACTATTTGTAGGAGAGAGTGAGAGGCAAGAGCAGCTTAGCCGCGACTTGTCAAGGAGGAAAGAACAGCCCGGGCGTGCCTGCAAGATGCCACAAAGGAAGATGCAGTCGAGAGCAGGGAAAGAGATGCGGCAGGCCGCCCGTGGGGAACCATGATGTGCTTACCCTTGTCCCAATCGTCGTCGTCTTGATAGAAGTCGGACAGCTCGTAGCCTGTTTCAACAGCGTGAGTCAGCGACCTTGAGCTTCGACCATGAGGCTTCTTCTGGCCCGGAAACTCGGGTATCCAATCCCCTATATGGGAAGCCAATGCCAGCTTTGCGACAGCAAAAGCCATGGTTTGTAGATCTGTAACGAGGAGCCTCGCGTCTCTTCGGCAAAGCAATAATGAAGCGAACAAGCTGGTTGTTTTCCGAAGCGAGTTCGAGTTTTGGGGATAGAGTTGGTGGTCATGAAGGCAGAGAACTCGGGCGGTTGGGGTACACCCGCTGCTGGGGAAGCAAGAAGGAAAGGGCCGTTTTTGGTTGTGTTGAATGTGCGGCCGGGGCGAGACGCGCCGCCTGCGCAGGAGGGCCAAACATCGACTCAAGGGGACTTACCGGCTATGCAGCGTAAGGGGCCTACTAGTAGGTGTGTTGACGGACTGCTGGCGATGGGATGATGGACAACGCGATCTGCGGAGGCAAGTCGAGTTGCTGTCAGATATCGAGACAAGGGAGTTGAAGAAGTAGAGAATGGAGGATCTCAATTTGGAGTAGGAAAGACTATCAATTGTTCAAGCTTTACAGATCACTCAGGCAACGATATTTCAAGGCCGCCCCAGGGGGAATCAGCCCGCTGCCTTGCCGGCTGCAACACTGCACGCACGATGCCTTGCGACTGAGGGCATCGCGGCCTCACTAGGCACACACAAGCAATTTCAAAGACGCATAAAAGAGAGCGCCCCGTCTAAAGGCTGTTTTGAGGGTCATAGTGTATCCAATTCGAAGACAAATACCGCCATAACCAATGCAATATTCACCAGAGCCCTTTGCGAGCCGCATGTTCACTGTGCAGCGCGTGAATGTTGGTCTACCAGCGTGAATGTTGGTCTACCAGCACGACAACCATCTCAACATGGCCCTCATACCCAGACTAGGACCATATCTAGTGTTTGGTCATGAAAAACAAAGAGGCCGAAGCAAATGCGCATTGTGGAAACGTTGGCGAAGGGGGACGCTGATGCGCAAGCTTCATGGCTTCTTCACTCACGGGCTTGAGATGCTGCAGGGTTTGCGATAGGCAATCTATTACAAGAGGCTTCACAGACATAATTACATTGCTTTGTGCAATGCTTCAGGCCTGCTTTCCATCGCAGCATGATAGCTGCCATCAGAAGTACTGGTACGAGGATGCCTGAGGGCAGCACACCATGAAGCAATACTCATCAGAGATCAATCGACGGGCTGGTGTCAAAACCAAAAGCCATGCAAAATTAACAAGATGTGTATATGTGACACGAGCAAAGAAGAGACAACACCCAGTAGATTGATGTCAGATGGACAGGTCATTATTCCCTGTGAACACCTTCAGGAGGCATGTCGTTGGCTGGTTAGTCAGCGCCTGCCCCTCCCCCTCCCCCTCGGTGAGGTGACAGAAAACAGCGAGGGTGGGGGGCATCCTGCGGAGACGAAGGCCCACCTCGCATCGGAGCCCCCTCATCAACAGGAACAGACAACAGCACTGAAGTCTGCATCAGCACCCCTCCGCCCGAATCAGATCCCTGCTCTTTGGCCATCCTCACCCCAGGGGATTTTGATCATGACGACCTCGACCATCCCAGAAGCCTCAGAGATTGCTACGCTCATCCAAGCGACCGCACACTTTGATCCGCGTATGGGTGCCCTGCTTCAGACCACCAATGGCCCGGTAGGGAAACTCGGCGGAAAGCTTCTCGAGCTATTTGCCTAGGCACCTACAGCACGTTGAGACGTCCATACTCAGCAATCACCTTCCCTTGTCCTGCTGCAGCTCTAGTGGGGGTCCTACCACGACACCACACCCGACTCGGCTCGCCGATCCCCGGTGATGTGGCCATGGATGCTGCTGCTGCTACATGTACTTACCCGTCGGCTGAGATGGCGACACTTGCATGGACTGCCTTCAAGTATATAATCAGTGACGTTTCCTCGATGATGGCTTCTCGCCATGGCTCCCCCCTTCCGCACGACTCGTCCAAATTATCCGGACCCCGCCCCCCTCTCCCCCCTCACAGAAGCAGACCACAGGGCCCCCTCCCCAACACGATCACACAATGTCGAAGCCTGACGATCTTCCCGCCATGGAGTACCGCTTCCTGGGCCGCTCTGGTCTCCAGGTTAGCGCCATCAGTCTGGGTGGATGTGAGTCACGCCGAATTTCCAGACGCGGTTTCCGGGGCCATGCTGATTCCAGGATGCAGGGTTGACCTATGGTGGCCATGTCGACAAGGGTGAGTGATTGATGTGCGGCAGACGGCCTGCCCGCTCGACTCGACGTCGCCCGATGCTCGTTGCTGACATGTTTCTCTGCAGAGGGCACCTTCAAGTGCATGAAGGCCGCCTATGACTGCGGCGTCAACTTTTTCGACACGGCCGAGGGCTATGCCGAGGGCGAGAGCGAGAAGGTCATGGGTGAGGCCATCAAGAAGTACGGCTGGAAGAGGAACGACCTTGTCATCTCTACCAAGATCTACTGGGGTGGTGCGTTTGGCGACAATGTCGTGAACAACAAGGGCCTCTCCCGCAAGCACATTATCGAGGGTCTCGACGCCTCTCTGGCGAGGCTCGACCTTCCCTATGTCGACCTCGTCTACGCCCACCGGTGGGTCTCCCCTTTCCAGCCTCCTCCTCTGCACAGATCCGTCCACGCCCGCAATCATCTGATCAATCCTACTGACGACCAAGTGCAGTCCCGACCGTCACACGCCCATGGAAGAGACGGTGCGCGCCTTCAACCACGTCATCAACGAAGGCAAGGCCCTCTACTGGGGCACCTCGGAGTGGTCGGCCGACGAGATCGCCCAGGCCTGGCGCTACGCTGACAAGCTCAACCTCATCGGCCCCGTCATGGAGCAGCCGGCCTACAACGCGCTCGACCGCAAGAAGGTCGAGCTCGACTTTGTGCACCTCTACCGCGAGGTCGGCCTCGGCCTCACCGTCTTCTCCCCGATGCGTCAGGGCATCCTCTCGGGCAAGTACAAGAACGGCATCCCCGACGACTCGCGCTTCGCGCAAAAGGACGTCGGCTTCATCGGCGACTACTGGAAAAAGGAGAACGCAAAGGCCGAGTTCCAGGCCCTCGTCGACAAGGCCAACGGCCTCGCGCCCATTGCCGAGCGCCTCGGCATCAAGCAGAGCACCCTCGCCCTCGCCTGGGTGCTCAAGAACCCCAACGTCAGCTCGGCCATTATTGGCGCCAGCGGCGCCGAGCAGGTCTACGAGAACATTCGCGCCATCAGCGCGCAAGAGAAGCTGACGCCCGAGGTCCTGGAGGAGATGGAGAAGGTGCTGCAGAACAAGCCAGCCGCCATCACGCCGCGGTTCTGATTCTCCGGCTTTGGAGGTGCGGAGTAGCAGCAAAGGACAGAGGGACGGGTTGATATACAAAACAGCGTCAAAAGCCAATCACTTTCACTTCACCTTTCTTCAATCTTGCTCGGTCCTCATCTCTCGCCCTTTTTTTTTTCCTTTTCATGCGTGTGTCATTTTGTGCCGGTGATCAGTGGCCCCTGGCCTTCGATCTCGTCAGGTTGATGGCGTTTTTGTAGTAACCCGCCGTGCCTCCGTACTTCTCGACAATCTGCCTGGCATCGATGTCCGCCGCCGGCGTCGTCCTCGTTCGTCCCAAGAGGGCCGTGTTCCTCGTGCTCGGAATCCGCAGCATCTCCGTCTCGACCTTCCAGCCACAGTCCTCGGCAATCCGCGACACCCAGTCGACGAGCGACGAAAAGGCTGACGCCGACTTTGTCTTGTCGCGCGGCGGCGCGGCGCGGTACTTTGCGCCGCCGAGGTCGTGGCTGCAGCACGGTATGGCGATGAAGGGCGACGCCGACAGGGCGGCGAGGATGGGCGTCCAGGGCGTCAGCTCGTCGGCGTGGTTCGAGATGATGAAGGTGCCCTTGGGGAAGGTGCCGTCGTGGAGGAGCAAGCGGTCCTCCTCCGCGACGATGCCGTCGTCGTCGGTGGGGGCCGCGAGGTCGGGCAGCAGCACAAGCCTCTTGAGGACGTCGGCCGGCGGCGCGTCGGCCGTGGTGGTCGTGGGCTTGCCGTACGTGGCCCACGACTTGCGCTCCCGCGCGTCGAACCCCCAGCCGGCGTAGCCCTCGAGCAGGAGAATGTGCACGAGCAGGCCGTTGCCGCAGCCGATGTCGACAAAGCCGGGGAAGGGCTGGTCTCGGTACATGTCGGCCCACAGCTCGATGAGGAAGGCGGCGATGCCGAGATCCTCAAAGACGTGCTTCAGGGGGTCGGTCACCTCGGCCCAGGTGCTCACGAGACGGGCGGCGTGCTTGAGCTTGAGGGCGGAGTAGCGGTCCTGGAAGCGTGCCTGGGGGATGACGACGTCGTGGTGGACCTTCTTCACGTAGCCGGCCGCCTGTCCCTGGCCGTGCTTGTGGAGGACGGAAAGGAGCATGCGGGCTGTGCGCTTCAGCTTCTCGGGGTCCGTCTCCGGGTCGATGCCGTGCTCGCCGGGTGGGAAGTGCCAGTAGTGGATAGAGATGGTACCGCGGGCCTCGTCGGCGTCCCACTCGTGGAGCTGGGCGATGCCGCGGACCTTGGGATGATAGAAGGGCATGTCGTCGGCGGAGGACTCGTGCGGGAGGTACAGGACGACGGTGCGGGTCTTGGGACCGTCGACCTGCTGAAGGAAGAGGCATGTCTGGTCGAGAGGATTGTCGCGGCGGGGGTTCCTTGGCACGAGGCGGCGGACGAGGGCGCGTTCTGTGTGATAGCCGCCAAGGTGTACGATCTGAGGTTGGTGCTCCGCTCCCGGGATTGCATCATCGCCCGTGTCGTGCAGGATGTCTGCACGGAACAGCCATTTCGTGTTGACATTGGGGTTCTTGATCATGTTCATCATGACTTCGTTGAAGAAGTCTGTGTTGAAGGAGCAGTCATGCTGGTAGACGGGCTCCCAGGAGGCACCCGACTCATCCTTGAAGAGGGAGTCTATACCGGCGGCAGTGTAGCCATCCGGTTCGAAAACGGGCATGATTATGTTGAGGCAGGGTATGCCTGACGTTGGTGAGACAGGACTCGGGACGCACAACCAGGTGCCTTGGACATCCCACGACGAGACACAATGGCCGTCGTGAGGGCGGCGTTTGCCAGTGTTGGTGGGGTGAAATATAGATAACGGATAAGGGAGGAGAAATGCACAAATTTGTGCCATGCACAGGCGGAGCTCGCGCGACGTGTCAGGCTCACCGCGTCGGGGTTTAACCGCGTCGGGGTTTAACCGCGTCGGGTTAGGGTACGTAGGTCGGTACTTGGTACTTGTGCGTTGTTCGCCATTTGTTTACTTTCAGGTGGGGCCGCCCTAGCAACGAGCCCGAGGAAGTGGCCTCGTCCAAAATACACAGGTACACGCCATGGACCAACAAAGACAGCCTACCTCTCTACCTAGCAATCCTGTACATTATGCATGCCCTTCATCGAGACACCCCTGATACCAACATTGTCGACGAATGCGCCCATCTCCACTCGGCCACAAAGTCATCTCCAGCATCCTCTATGCCCATGGTTTCATGATCACACCTCTCCAGCAACACCACTCACCCCCA